CGAGATGAAGCTATTGAAGTTCTCTGTTCGAATGTAATAGAAAAATTATTCTGCTCTAAGATTAAACAAAGTTGATTTCATAATGTTTAATTTTAGTCGACTTATAAAAATATTCCTCGCAGCCCGAAAACTGCAGTCTGGATACGGTGATTTTAAATAAAATCGATAAAAGAAAAATATTTTGGCCCAACTGCTTGTGATTATGAAGACTTTTGAATATAGTTAGTTGATAGAACGTTTCAAGGACTACAAAATGTCTGTTTTCTCTCATTTCATATTCCAAAATATGAAGGACTAAAATTGAAAAAACTATTTTTTGGGTTAGAAAGTGATCGAGATTGCAGCTTCCCAATATTTTTTCCTCGATATTTTTTCTTTTATTTTTACAGTATATAGAAAAATGTCCGATATGGTTATTTTGTAGAGAATGAATGGCAAATCTGTTAAAAGTTTACGGTCAAAAATGAAAAAGTTATTCGACATATACGGAGAGTGCAATTTTTTCTGAAGCACCATTATAAGTCTTTCATATATATATATGTACCTTGCCCCCCCTCCCCTGGTAATAGAAGCATATCTCCGATTAGAAGATCATTGCTATTAATTTTTTTCTGAGCCCCTTCCCCCCTTTACTTTAGAGTAGAATCTACAGGTATATTAGGATATGATTTCTAGTGGTATATTTAATCAGATGTTTACAATAGAATTGTTCTTGATTTTAGTAGAAATTGATGAAAATGGACTTTAGTATGAAACTTTTGAATATTTCAGACATCTCGTCCAACAGTAAGGTGGTTGTCAAATTTTTCTAAACGTTTCACGCATTTCAGGTGACTAAACGATTTGATTGAATCTATCCTAGTATTATCAACAACAGCTTCTATTTGATAACTTAAATTGAACTATTTGAAAAGTCGTTCGAATTGTGACAATACATCTTCATTATCAACGTTTATACTTCCAGTTGCCGAATGTTGAACTGATTTTTTCGTCTTCTAACAGATCTAAACGTCGCAAGGATGATATTACACTCTAAACTGGAAAATACATTTTAGAAAAAGACGAGCGATTTTAAGAAAATTCGTATATACAATCTCCGATGATTTTCTATTTCCTAGAAAATATGAGTTTCTAAAATATCGAGGTAGATTTTCTTTACCTTGATATTTCAGAAATCAAGCTCGATTTTTCAAAATCGCCACTGATTTTCCATCGATTCTCCAGTTGGAAAATCGCCGAACATAGTTTAATGCAGTATAAAATGTTGATATTAAATATGTCATCGACCTTGATTAAAAACAATTTATTCGAAAGTTGAAAGTCCACAACGCCTAGGAGAGTATATGGAAAATTGTTTCGCCTTATAGAACATTGGGAAAAGGCGTGAAATGTGAGTCGAGAAAATATTTCTCTAGGAGAAAATTTTGAAGATTATCATTCACTATGTTAGGGCAACAAAATACTCAAATTCATTTCTCCGCTAAATTGCCTACTATGTAGGGATGTTTTTCTCAAAATCGATTTTTCTGAGAAAAATTATCATTTTTTAGAGGGGATCTTTAACAAACTCTGTTTGGCAGTTTGACCTTACTGTACTGTAGGCAATGATATATTACGAATCAGATTCGACAGTATGGCGCAGATTTAATGATAAAGTTCAAAAATTTTGAGTATAGATAGTCTTTGAACTAGCTCACACGTATCCCAACGCGATTCGAACTGCCAAACGTATTAAATATTTTATCGAAAGGTTAAGAGACGTATTGTAATGGAATTTTGCCTTTTTCTTAAAAGGCGGTAGTACTATAGCAAAAGTTCTGTTATTTATAGTTAACCTGGATCTTCCTGGATCGAGAGAAAAAAATTACTTTACCATACTTTTCACTACTCCATGAGAGTTGGTCGAGATTGGACTTATTGTTATCAGGGGTATAAGTTTTAATACGAAAGTCATAGGAAATCGTGTTACTATAAGCAACTAGCTATTCTGACGATGGTTTTTTAACCGTATTTGTTCTATTTCTTAACTTCGAAGAAGCATTTTTTTTTGAGAATTTAACAAAATCTTTCTACTAAGCCATATAGTATTCGAGAAGAGTAGTATGGTGTACGGCTGAAAGTGAGAACTAGTGTAGGAGATGAGAGATATTATTTATCTGCTTTGTCACTAGTATAATCACCTGAAACGCACACTCATCTGCAAAAGTAGTTAACTGAAAAAGAGATCGCTTTCTTTCAAAAAGATGAATTTTTAGGATTTTGGAAAAATCAAGGTTTTCTGAGGAAATCGAAGAAGACATCGAATAATGTTTTCGATTGTCGGATTAGAAAGAGAACCTCAGAAAACCTATAAGATTTTAATCCTTTATGTATGTTCGCATCGTAAACAAAAAATTGCCCATTGTGTCCTAGTGCATGTTCTTCAGCCAAGACGCTGCAAGAAAAAAAATACAAAAATTGAACAGTTCATGAGTCAAGATCTGAATTAAAGATGCAAAAATAAACTTTCAGTATAGAGATATCTGAACGTTCATTGTTTTACAATTTATGTCTCTTTCCACTCCAGAAGTGTTTTTTTATAGTTTAATAGAAATTACACACTAAATAAATGAACAAATTTTTGCAGCACAAAACTATAAATCACAGCCCTGCAGTATATAGAAATACGAGGAATATTTTTATAAGTCGACTAAAATTAAACATTATGAAATCAACTTTGTTTAATCTTAGAGCAGAATAATTTTTCTATTACATTCGAACAGAGAACTTCAATAGCTTCATCTCGTTTTCCTTTTAAAAGGAAGTTTAAGTCAACGTGGTCAAAAATGAAAAAGTTATTCGAAAGATACAGAGAGTACAATTTCTTCTAAATCAGCACCAGTTATGTAGATGAACATATAAATAGATATACTCTATACTAGATAAGAAATTATTTTTATAACCTAATCTAACCTATGCCTTAAGTTTGGATTTGGTTGCAAAAGTTATAGGTTAGATTAAGTTGTAGGTTGTATGTTGTTTTAATTTTTTTCGATTTATTTCTACTTTTGCGGAAGCTAAATTTTTTTCTGATTTTAAGTCATCCACGCCATGATTCTTTGAAAGGCAAAAGGTTCAATAACATGTACAGTTACTTATAGTCAAATATGCGTGCAGCGTTCTGTGGACTGAAAACAAAAAATCAGAGAATAGGTTAGGTTAGGGCTAGGCTATCGACTTCATAGGTTAGATTAGAATTAGGTTGTGAAATTCTTTATAGGTTAGCTTATAGGTTGCCAAAAAGTGACAATTCTGCTATAAATATTCAATGAATAATCGATCCGACTACTTTCTATAGGTAGACTTTAACAATATTCTATGTATAGTTCAAGAGATTTCAAAACAAACCGGTTTAAATAAAGCAGATTGTAACATACGCAGAACTTTAGAGTAATCAACGTAGAAAATTTCTCTTTTGTTCTCGTGAGAAAACTTCTCACGATCCTGTTCATCCTTCAATCTCATAGGGTGTTAACGACGCAGTATTCATTTTTCGCAGTTTTTTATACTGATCATGCTTTGTCCTTATAACAGCTATGGTTACACGGCGACTTAAAGTAATTTGAGAACGCAAAAGGTCCTGAGACCACAAAATCTTTACATTACCACTAAATTTAAAACTAAAGAATATTTCCAACATGAATCATCTGTAACAACATGTTTACTGTACAATAGTAAAAGGAGTGAAAAACTTTGATATTTCATCTTTTTGCTAAACTAATAAAACGGATTAGATTTACCAGTAGATGCCGACATCATCTGCCTAATCGTCTTTTTACGGTTTCGATCAATTTCCTAGTTTAGTTGATCATTGAGGATGTCGCTGGTATTCGGCACGAAAAATTGTCTATTTTCAGAAGTTTTCCTCCTTCCCCCAATTATTAAACTAGTTTACAAAGAGTTTGTTTACTATAAAGATAGCTAAAAGCAGCACAATAAATTTATGCGGAACTCTCATCTTAAAAAGAAGACGGAATGAATTTTTTGCCACATTACGTGGTTTTTCAATGATGCAGTCTACCAACGTATAATCGATGCGTCTGGTTTAGACAGTTTAATGTAGAATACAATATTTCAGACGAAATATTGGCAAAAACAACCTGTGTTACACTTACCATTGACCCAGAATCTCTCGTTTCCTTCTCCGACTTTCACAATCTCCAATTCAAACGAAAGAACAATGGAACACAACAAATATTATATTATTCTATCTGAATTGAATATTCAAGACACAAAACATGCAACAAGAAAGTTACAAAAAAAAACACACTTTAACATAGTTAATTTTTTTTTTTATTTATTTAAAAGTTTTCTCCATGATGTCCAACACCATTCACTCCATTTGTCATTATACCATTTGAACTTTCTTTTAATGGTAAAAATTCTTGATTGTTAACACGCGATTCTTGATATGATGAAATTTTACTCACTCCGTTTTCATTAATGACTGTTGTCGAAGTTGTTGTTGCTACTTTTTCAACATTTTCTGGTACAAAACCATTTATCCATTTGTAATGACGTTTAGCAAGATAATAGACGACAATTGACAAAAAGACCAATGCAAGTATCATGGATAAGAACCCAACCAGTATTGCATTATATGGCGGATATTCATTCACGTAAGATTCAGCGCATGGCTTTATGTTTATAATACGAGTACCAAGAATAGCACTTCCATTGTTAATATTTCCGGTTTCCGATGTGATAACTTCAAGCACTGTATCTAAAGTATAAAACATGGATTAACCGTAGGAAGTCTTTGATAGCCTGATAATAAAATCAGAAATATTAGAATGTGGTTGAAACGATTATATCCACATATCCAAGAAATTCTTCGTATTCATATCAAATAGTAATTTGTTTTATACTTACATTTAGCTGTGGTTGTTGGATTCATTCCATTATGGTGGAACATATTTCGTTGAGAATCCATTATTCGATTTGAAATTTTTTGTATGTTTATAAATTCAAGGAAGTTGTTGCACGTATACCGAAAAGTCAAGAATGAATTATTATCATAAGGAAAGAAGAAAAAAAAAGAATATATATAAGAATGTGGTCTGTTATATTTCTGTGTAAGAGAATTGAACAAATAAATTCGGCTGTTTTTCGACCGTCAATTCCATTAATAGCAATCGTGAACAATGATCTGCACGGTTGAACAATTCTATATCTTCAGTAAAAGAAACGGACGATCACTATTAAGAATAAACTTGTCTTGAATATGTGTTTATATTTAACATAATGACCTATGAGTAAGGAAAGCAACCGTCCTATTCGAATGAGACGAAAAAAAGAAAATAAATATCATACATATACATATATTTGGTTTCGCTTTTTCTATCCATCGATTTACGTACAATTACAGTGGAACAACTATCTTTCAATATGAACGAAAAAGAAAAACAACCGTCGTTTTTTAAGTGAACCCATTTAACAGTCAGTATACCCAATGTAGTAGAAAATATTTCATTGTTGTTCTCTTTGCAATGAGAAGGAAACGACTATGACCCGAATAACTAACTATGTTCTTTCTGACTATACACAAAAAAATGACAAAATGTTTCATGCTAGACACTTATTCGTGTCATAAGTCAGTTCATTAATTAATTTTTGCTTGTTTTTCTTCACTCATAATCATACATTGATCGGCTTATTGTATGCGAGTGAGAAAAGATTTTCGTGAGCTAAATAAACGAGTAATTGACTAAATAAAATAGTAATCTAACATTTATTTAAAAATGAGAATACAACTGATAAGCAGATGGATAAATGTAAAATGAGAAATTTCAATTTTTCTAGTACCACATTAGTCAATTTTATGTAGATACAGTGTTTGAAACATCTATCAATCATCATTGAAGTTTTTTAATACCACATGTGATGTTCTCAGGACGAAAAATGTAACAATGAGATAACGGTTAAATGAACTTCATAAAACATAGGTTGTGGGAACATAAATTCTGTCTACTTTAAAAGTTTCTATAAAGAATAATGCCATTGGTTCAGTTTTGATAAAAAGTGATAGAGAGCTCGAGTTTTCAATATTTTATAGTTAAGATTTTGACGTATATTTTCATTAAAAACTTAATTTTCAAGTCTTTTCTTAAAGCAAAATTTTAAAAGAATTTTTGAAAAGCCTGTGCATGATTAAAAATTTTGTAGTAGAAGTACGCTGGCACAGAGTTGACAGAGTTGGAACTGGTTAAAAAGAATCAAATCGGACGGTGGAATTGACAAGTTCAGTTGAATCAATAGTAAAACGACGAGTTTAAATAGAATAATCAATCGGTAAAAAGTCGATGTTTTTTTTAAATAAATTTGGCAGTAAAATAAAGAATTATTTGTTTCAACAACATTGTCGAATAGGATAAAAAGACTTAACTCTTTTCTTTCAAGTAAAAGGAATATAGATTTATGAAATGCAATAATTAGCTGAGCTTTGAAATTCAGAAGCCGATTTTTAGAATTTTATACAATTAACGTTCTATTATAGAGTAAAATAGAGATTCTATAGACTTTTTAAGTCTTGGCGCTGCATGGTTTCTGAGAAAACTAAAAAGTTTGAACGATAGATACCTATGTGTTAAAAAATCTTTTTTTTCAATAATCTTCTACTTTTCTGGAAAGTGCCTTCCATCATTGAATACACGACTGGATTGTGCAAAACTGAGATAAAAAAGTTACGTTTAAAGAATATCCTAACCTATAGAAATACTATATCTCGATCAATATAACCGGGTTTGCAGAGAAACGTCCTTAAATTGTCCGCTAGACATCCTGAAGTTTTAGTCAAAAACAAAATTCTCTCTCAAAAGTTATAAATTTTTTATTGTCAAAATTAAGATGTAGTTTTAAGTGATTCCGACATAATAATTGAAATTTTTCTATTTTCTAAATGTTTTGGAGAAGTACTAATATTATGTTCGTGTTCGGTTAGAAAGAAAAGAACACGTTTTTTTTAGTTTTCTCAGAAACCATGCAACGCCAAGGCTTAAAAAATCTATAAAATCTCTATTTATTTATGTGAAATTTAAAAAACCGCCAGTATCATCTATCTTTTTGCGATATTATTTAGTTTTCAGGTTTTATTCGACTCGGAACCGTGAAAAAATTAAAAAAGTTTTAGAGGAAAAAACCGGCAAAAATCAGCACAGATTTAGATCGATTCAATCGGTCCGATTTCAACTCTGATTGGGGATTTTTCATGGATATTTAGTCCAAAATATTCTTTTCAAGATGGGTTAACCGAGAACTTCATCCCTCAATCTCCAGATGTGGCATTGAAACCTCTATGCTAGGACTAGCATCTGTTCAGTTTCTGAAAATCGACTTAAAAAACGATTGAAACATGAATGATCAAGAATGCTAAGTTTCGTGACAATGTTTGTTTATTCAAACAGTCTGAAAACATTGAAGCTTTCCAAAAGACACAGTTTCTACTAAATATTAAAATATTTTTTATCTCCCTCAAAATCGATGTAGCGGATCTGAAAATAAATTTAAGTTGCTTTCTATGATGATAATCCGAAATGAGGAAAGAAATTATCTTTTTAGACTACCTTCTTGGTCAGATAGCTCGAATATATCTTGTAACTAAAGCAAATTGTCGTGTTCTTCTTCTCTCGTTTTACAACTTGTACAGATCGATTTGAAGATATAAACGTGTTTAATATTCAGTGAAAACTATATGTTTTTTAAAATCAAACATTGTCACGAAACTCGACGTGCTTAAGAAAAGCTCCACCAGAAAACTAATCATGCTGTCCGGAGAAAATTTTTATTTTAGTTTTATTTATGTCTCGTTGGAAAGAGCGTACAAAATAACCACTAACCTTGCAATAATTCTTTCCGAAAGTGCTTTTTAGAAAAACCAGAGGCCA